CCAACCCAACCCAACACCACCCCCACTCCTCCCCCTCACGAGGTAAGACTTTCTCTTGATATCTTTCTTTTATTTAAGTCATTGATCACATATCTATAAGCAGGGGGACTGCGTTCACTATTAAGCCTACGCTCGTCCATTCCTTTCAAGTTTGATGGATTTTTCTCTTATTATAAATTTCATTGTTGTCGACCCCCTACCCCCAACAACAACAATTCTAGTGTAATCTCACAAAGTGGGGTCTGAAAAAGATAAAATATATGCAGACCTTTGAAATGTTGTTTTCGAATGACCGACCCTCTACTCAAGCAAAACAAAGCACGTGACAGCTTATAATAAATTAGTGCAGAACATTTATACAAGCAACCATAATATCAACATGAATAAGGTGCAGTCACCTAAACACATTAAACTATGATAGACAGAAACAAAATCAATGGCTACAAGAATATGCTAATACAACGACCGATAAGAAGCTCCATCTATCCTAAGATTGGAACATTATAGTAATAAAAACATGTAATAACTATCTACTAACTTTCTACCCTTATCCGTAATCTCCAAACTTTCTACCCTACCACCACCACCCCAAAAACCACAAGAAAAAAAGAAAAAAAATATCCCCAACATGATTTTTGCCTCTTTTTTTTTAATAATTAAAAGGTCCACTATTAACCCCCACTCTAAAGAAAAGAATAGAAAAAAAAAAAAGAAGATAAAACAAAGATTAAAATCCACCGTCTTATCCACCACACGGTTTTGAAAAATAAAACACGCACAAAAATTATTTTAAAAAAGAAAAAGAAAAATGAACAAACACAATATAATGGGATAGATTGAATTCTTTCATGCTTAACTAAAAGTTTCGAGTTCGATCAATAACAACAACGTATTCGGTATACACCTATAAATAAGATTTTTTTTAAAATAGCGTACGACAGATCTTACCTCTAACATTTTCAATAGACTCTTAACTTTGAAAAAAAAAAGTGACGAAAAATAATAATTAGCACATTATTTTATTAAAGGATAAATATTTCATTAAGAATTTTTTCTATTTTCTATATTATTCATATCTGAATTAATCGAGTCAATACTTACCGAATAATGAAAGAATTATAACTATGCCTATATTTAAAAACGTGGTCATAAGAAAGACATAGCCAAGTGGGCAGACAAATATTAGGTAAGGGGTGGACTTACTTGTTTCCAAGAAAGTAGTAATATTATTTATTATTTATTATTTAGAAATAAATGGAAATAAAATATATCTTTTGCAAAGAAGACTTTACAATAGTCACGTTTGTTCCCACCTTACTCAAAGTCTTCTACTAATTAATTTTTGGTATTTAAAGTGGTTTTATTAATTTGAAGTTGCGTTGGATAGGCTTAATAGGATAGTAAATTGTATACTCACGCAAAAATAAAAAAAAATATAAAAAAGACTCGAACTCACACTTCATAAAGAGATCTCGAGCATTATATTACATTTCTTTATGTTATTTTATTGTTCTTTAATAGGAAATTTTTGGAAATATTTTGAGGATTAATTACTTATCACTAAATCAAAATTGAACAAATGAAAACACTAAAATAGAATTCATCTTATAGTTGGGTAACAACAACGAGATTAGAACTTAGAAGAGGACAAGAGACAAAGGAAGGTGAAAGAGTAGACAAGTTCTATAAGAGTGTGGCAAAGATGGGGATAAAAGGATAGCACGTGTAAGAACAAGAAGTTAGTAGGCTAAAATCGAATGAAATTACCAAACTGACCCTTAAGCAAGGTAACCTAAACCTTCTCACATTCCCACTTCTATTATAGAGTAATAAAAGTAAAATTGAATATGAAAAAATATACATGTGTCGTCAAGAAACAAAAATATAGAATTATCTCAAATTTTTGTGTTTATTAATTAATGAATTTTTTTTTGAAATATGTGTGAGTGATTTTGTTTGAGCTTAAATTTTGTAGATTTATTGGTGATGACCGATTAAATTATACTCATTATTTTCAAATCGAAAAAGGGACGTCGTTACATTTCTTGGAGTTAATGTGTCATTAAACAGAAAATCAACTTAGTCTCACTTTTTCTTGTGTATTATTAGTTCATGAATTTTCTGAAATATGTGTGATCGACTCTGTTTGAGCTTAAATTTTATGGATCCATTAGAGATGATCTACCAAATGATACTCATTCTTTTTGAAAGACAAGCATTGCTTTTTTGGAGTTGATAAGTTACGAAATAGGAAATCGAGATTATCTTAGTTTTACGTGTGTATTAGTCTATAAATTTGTTTAGAATATTTATTACCGCCTTTTAGAGCTCAAATTTTGTGTGTTGAATAATGGCAATCTATTAAATGATATTCGTTATTTTCGAAAGACGAATGCTACTTTATGGGGTTTATGAGTATGAAATAGAAATTCAGGGTTATTTTGATTTTTCGTGTGTATTACTCCATAATTTTTTTAGAATCTGTCAGACGGATTTTATTTGAGCTCAAATTTTGTGGATACATTGGTGAAAATCTATTAAATAATATTAATTATTTTTGAAATACGTACATCACTAATTTGAAGTTTATGTGTTATAAAACAGAAATTCATGATTATCTTAAATTTTTGTGTATATTATATTATCCATTAACTTTTTGAATGTGCGTGGTCGACTTTATTTGAGCTCAAATTTTGTGGGTCCATTAGTGACGTCCTATGGAATGATGTTCATTATTTTCAAAAGGCATACATCTTTTTTTGAAGTTTATAGGTCGCTAAACAGGATATCGGGATTATCTCCATTTTTCGTGTGTGATAATTCATTAATTTTTTTTTAAATATGTGTGATCGACTATATTTAAGATCAAATTATGTGGGTTCATTGGTGGACAACCTATTATATGATATTTGTTTTCAAAAGGTGGGTGTCACTTTTTTATGGTTTATGTTTTGTGAAACAGGAAATCAGGATTATTTTGATCTTTCGTGTGTATTAGTTTATAGATCTTTTGGAATATGTCTAACTGACTCTGTTTGAACACAAATTTTGTGGGTACATTGGTGTCTACCTATTAAATGATATGCATTGTTTTCAAAAGACAAATACTATTGATTTTTGTGGAGTTTATGTGTCACAAAACAGTAATTCAGAATTATCTCAATTTTTCTAGTGTATTAATCCATGAATTTTCTGAAATATATGTGACCCTCTATAGTTGAGCTCAAATTCTAAGGGTCCATAAGTAACGACTTGTTAAATGATACTTATTATTTCTGAAGATGGACATCATGTTTTTGGAATTTATGTTTCACGAAACAGGAAATCATCCCAATGTTTTGTGTGTATTAATTTTTTTTGAACTATGTGTGTGATTGACTCAGATATTGAATGTCCATTGGTGACGACCAATTAAATGGCATTCATTGTTTTCGAAAGTCAAACTGATTTCAAGTCAAAAATATATCAAAAGACTTGAACTGAGAGAAGCATGTATCTAAAATTTGACACTATTAAGAAAAAATATGCATTGGTCATGATTGTACGAAAAATTTAACTCATCGAGAAAGACGATTGATGTAATGTATAAATATTGTATAACAATATATATATACATCTTATATATGAATATATACTACTTATGTAATACCGATACATTACATATACATACTGTCGTTTGACAAAAAAATTGTCAGCAGTAGATATGCATAAGAATCCCAAACACACCATTTGTTTCCTAAATATTTTTAAAAATTTATGAACAGACAACAATCAAAATGAAAAACCAACCAAAACAGTAATGGAATGGCAAGTACTCCTTCATTCTTAATTAGAACTCTCGAGATAGTCCCCTTTGTTAAGAAGCACTTTACCGCACAATGTAGGACTTTCCGGTCCAAATTAAATCGAACTCCAATGTGGATACCGAATACCGAGTGAGTAAAAAAAATAAATTGATAATCCAATGAAGTGATTGTATTTCCAAAGAGATATTATAACTTTCATTCTCAAACAGAATACAAACTACATATCTAATACATTCTGTTTGATGGCATTAAAGGTAGCTGAAGAAAACTAACAATTGATAGGAAAAGAGAAAGATTCTATCACTTAAAATAGCACAGAGAAGGTAGCAACAACAGGTGTTTACAAGTTGTTTTATTGAATCAACAACTAGTAGTACATCGGTAGCTGCGGCGAAGCAGTGCCACCATCATACAGAACCTGACTAGCAGCGCCAATTCGCTGTCCCTGGGGTTGCATGAGAGTCTGCATACCAGTCATCCTAGCCAAAGCAACCTGCCTCTCGTACATCGCAAGACCCATGGCTGAAATACCAGGGAGTTGTCCGATAGCAGGAGGTGGTAGAGGGTTAGTGCTGCTTCCTGGTGGAGTAGGCTTGCTTCCCCATGAGCACTGCAGATGGACACAGAATGAAGGTTATAATATCTGGTTAAGAGAAACAGAAGAAGACACTACTATTCTCAGATTTTCTACTCATGCCTTCAACGCAACGTCAGCAACTACTAGCTCATTACATAATTTATCTATAAGAAATCACTTGCATAGCAGCTTCTCAACCTAAACATTAGGCTAAGTTTCATTTCAAAGCAAAACACCATCGACAGATGCATAGGAAATCACTTTCTATGAAAAAAAATGCTGAAAGTCTTACATTCTAACATCAAAACAAAACAAGGTGCCCCGGAAAGTTTGATAACTTCCCACCACCGAAATCAAAAGCGCATAAGGAATGGGGACAATTGTTTTTCTGCATTTTCATGGTGTGAAGTGTTTTCTCTTTTACATCTTTGCGTCTCCTAATAGGTCTTAGATGTCACAACTAGGTAAAAGTGAATATATAGAAGGCATAATACATAAACAACACTCGAACTTGACTACAGCTGGCATGTAAGCACTTCAACTCTTTGAGTCTGAGTGCTTCAGTTGAAGCCAATTTGAATGCTAGTTTATGTATTATGCCTATATAGAGAGAAAGCATTACATGTTCCACTTCCCTACTCTGAAATCCTAGATCTCCTCTGATAACAATTCTAATTGCTCTTCTAATCACTTTTTTGTGTGTGAGGAGGGAAGGGGGGGAGGGGGGATATAAAAAAAACTAGACATACTATATAGATGAACTGCCAAAAAAATCATGTCATGGTATAACATAGTACCTTAATGGGTTTACCAAAGAGGATTCGAGCATTTCCCAATTGAATTGCTCGAGCTGCTTCAGTATGATTGCTGTATCTTACAAAACCGAAACCTCTGTCTCGCTGAATACGGACATCAGCAATGACACCAGCTCCAAGAGCATGAAAATAACGATGGAGGTCAATGGTAGTGACCTGAAACACAACTGGATGTCAGAACAACAAGATATTCTAAATAATTGCAAATAAATTCCTCCCGACTAAAGCTTATGTGATACCCCCCCCCCTGTCCCAATTTATTTTAGTACTTTCCTTTTTACTCTGGTGACCCAGAAAGAATGTAATATTCCACAAGAGTGGTGACTGATCCCTACAGCATATAATAAGTTCATAAGAAATGGAGGTTCAAAGGTTCAACCGGTACTTACATCAGGAGCAAGGTTGCCAACATATACAGTTGTGTACTGCGGATTATTTTCTGGTGCATCTTCGTTGGCCTTCTGTTGACCATCATCTACATATATGAAAAAATAAATGACATGAAGATATTTGTAATACAAGTTCTCATAATAAACAAGGATAGGCCAACCATCACGCATATCTAAACACTTCATTTCATATTTATAGTTCACAACCTCACATTAGCTTGATAGAAGATTTATGTATATAGCATGGAATTCATAACATATGGCACGTGCTCTAGTCTATACTCAAAGATCCTACATGAAATCTGAAGCTAATTGAAACGGAAAATACTGGAAACATACAGATGTTTAAAATATAAATGAGTAGAGACTCTCAGCCATCAGAAGTTGAAATAGTATGCGGAGAAGACAAAAGCAGTAGTAGCCAAAATAAGCATGCAACATAACCAACCTGATGTTCCAGTTGTCAATTCAACAGCACCTCTAGCGTCTGAACCCCGGATGTCATCACCGGCTCCAGCACCTCTTGCTGCCCAGTTGCAGCGGATTTGTCTGCTTCCAAGCCACTTGCCTTTTGTTTTCAATAAGCAAAAAAATGCAATTAGGTAACACTAAAAGAAAGAAAACCATAGGAGTCTTTGATAGAATTCACTATTAGGGGTCATTTGGTTCATGGGATAAGGTGGGATATCCCAAGACTAAGTTTGAAATTCAATTTATACTTTGGTTGAAGGTGTAACTAATCCAGGGACAAAATTAATACCTCAAACTTGATGTTATTTTATTTTCCCACCTGGGAGGTGAACCCAGAACTATAATCCCGGGATAACTTTGTCCGCAGACCAAACAAACCCTAAGTTTCAATATGTAATAAATAAAATCAGGGGAGTCTTCAATAGAATTCACTCTTCTATATGCTTCTTCCATTGTATCTATCTCTCGCTAAGTCTACATGGATCCCTGAAAAACTTTAGGCCCTTCTATACTTCATTCTTTAGGAGTTAGGACTACCTCGTCCCTTATAACACCTTCACTCACCATGGTTTCACATATACGTCTACCATCACACCAACATATGGACTATAAATAGTCACCACCGCATTTTTTTGAGAAACTGGCACAACTGCATTTTTCCCAATTCACATATATGTCAACCATCAAACCGACGTATCACGTAAGGAATATAAATAAGCCCAACTGCATTTTTCAAATAGTATATGGATGGTAAAAAAAAATGACTACTGACACCATGGTCTTAATCTGATGAAATTGTAGAGATATAGAATGGAGAAACAAGATATAGAGTATAGACCAAACATTTGATCTTACCATTCAAGTCATTTATTGCACTTTGGGCTTCCTGCACAAAACAAACATAACGAGCGCTTTCATTATTTTTGTTTGGGGGGGTTGTAAAGATGAGCAATCATAGCAAAGATCATAAGATAGTATTTAGCTAGCTTAATACCTGCTGATCACGAAAGGAAACAAACCCAAACCCTCTAGACCGGCCTATTTTCTGATCCCACATCACTCTTGCATCTCTACAAGAAAAACATTAATGTAGCATTGTGTATTATCATCCATTTTCAAAATATGAATGCCAGCAGAACGTGTATAGTACAAAATAAATAGAGAGTGGAATGTACGAGCAGCTAGGGTATACTGAAAAGCACGCAAACAATGTGGCATCTGTAACCTCCGGACTAAGATCACCCACAAATATGTTGAAATGATCTGTAAGTGAGAAGAAACAGTTCTAGTACTTGACAAAATAATGTAAAAAAATTAAGAGGGTCGAAAATGGAGGTGTGTAAGATACGTACTTGATGTGTCCTCTCTTTTAGCACTGGCATAAGCCCAGTTAACTTTTATACACTGTCCAAACCTGCAGTTTACAAGTTAGCCAAACCATGCAGCAAATATTGAACTATGAAGTCAATATTTTGTTTAAGCTCTTACAATTGCCTTCCATTGAGGCTCACAATAGCAAGCGCAGCTGATTGGCGATCAAAATAATCCACAAACCCATAGGACGACTGCATTTTAAGAGAATCATCATCTATCACTCTAGTAATTACTAATCACACAACAACCAAAGGGATAATCTAAAACCATTTTCAGACATGAGATGAACTGCTGGTTTATACATTTATGAATCAGTATTCTACGGGAAATCTAAATTGCAATAAAATGCATGTAATTAATAATATACAATTAAAGATTGAATTTTTAAAAAATAATTGCGAGACACCCAAGTCCAACAACGATGTTTCCCGCTTTGCTCCCAAGGAGACTTGAACCTCCAACTTTCTGGTTAGAGGCAGGGGGTCCTTACCATTAGGATATACCTCACTTGTCAAGATCAATAAATTGGAACACAATATGATCAATATTAATGCAGAGAATGGTAATGTAGATATGACAACAGAAAAACACTACAAATATTCAACTATTAATGGAAATTAATATAATTTTCTGTTATAAAGCCAAATATCTGGAAAGTTACACAGTTTTAAAGACACTTCACGTCTTCACCTATTCCTAAACATCCAGAAACTTGTAGTGACCTTTAGCACAGATTATACAACAAATCAAAGAGCTTCATAGCGTTACAACCTTATAATAAAATAAATGTACTCGAAAGTATTGCACGATAATCCAAGTTATCAATAAAAACTCTAGACAAAGATATATATATCTTCTGAATTAGATTCAACAGTCAACACTAAGAAATACAGGACTGCTACAAGGTCAAGCTAGGTCAGTTTTGGTTTGTTGATTGCCCATCCTTCCCCAATCTGCCTTGTTCTTGCTAGACAAGTTAACTCCGAAACAGAAAATCAAGGAAAAGACCAATAATATAGCTATGAATAACTTGTTAAAAGAAAAACAACAATGGATTCAGACTGACATAATTTCATCTACAAGAGCTCAAAAGTGATTGGTAAATTTTGAACTCCCATCACAATTTAGACTTTCTCCAATGCACAAGTACCATAAAACAACAACACATACCAAATAACAAAAACATAACATGTTTGATGAGGTAAAGAACTATCACAGTGATCAAATGTACTATTGTAGTTGAGTGAGATTTTTATAGTAAGTAAAACAAGATCATACCTTGTCCTTCTGTATAAACTTGCATCCCTCAAGGGGACCGGTACTTGAGAAAACCTCTTGAAGAAGTTGTTCCGTGACTTGAGAACTGATGTTTCCAACATACCTGTATTTGATCATGTAAAAAGCAAAAAGGTTATCAAAATTCAACAATAACCATTCCGCATGCAAGTATAAAGAACAGCTTGCTTGAGAAATAAAATTCATAGAAGAAATAGATAAAAGAACAATTATTAACTTGTACGTGGGTGCTTGCATCATTATGGAGATACAAATGAGTATATTGTCACACATAAGGGTAGATTGCCAGAATGGCATTTTCTATTTCCAAGCAGCAGCAACCATCTTAATTGAGTTTTGGAACGATGATTAAATAATCAGGCTGTAATTTCATCTTCAGGCTACACCAATAGTTGATAGGTTAATTGGGAAAAGGCTAGTGTTCGGCTTCTTTTGGGGAATGTCAAGTGGCCAGTCAGTGGTCACCGTCTTTCCTTAGGTGGCATGTTCACATCTACGGCAGATTTTGTGCCCCAAATCATTTAGACTTATGAAACTAAGCGGGCCTTCTTTTTTTAATTCCAGAGCTATTCACTATGTGGATAAAACAGAACCCCTCAAACTCCGTAGGTAATTCGAGATAATTTAAGAAGAATAAAATAAGCTAGCATAGGGGTAATTGGCGAGTTAGTCATGTGTCAATGCAAGTAAGTCCTTGCCAAATGGAATACTTCTTTTTTTATGAAACTAGATGATCAAGATAGTCCTAATTACACTGTCTTTAAAATTGCCCCCTGACCCCTCCCTTCGCATCACAAAAAAAAGGAGGAAAACCATATTCCCTCTCGGATATGTCTCTCCTTTACTTTCATTTCATTCTTCTAACAAGAGAAAACCTAGAGTGGAAACAGCTAATTGCCACCAAAACAGCTTAAATACTCCACTCATTTTGCTGTCCTATCTTCTGACAAGAGCACCCTTTCTCGGCCTTCTGGCCAGGATAAAGTGTAGTATATGTTCTTATCAGTTCAGCGGTTATAAGAGTGATAGTTTGAACAATAACGTGTCATTGTTCAAACTATCATTCTTATAACCTCAAAACTGATAAGAACATATACTACACTTTATCTCGGCCAAAAGGCCGAGAAAGGTATCATATAAGTTATAACTGCAGAAAAGTTAGACAAGAAATAATTATCAGATACAAAATGTGTAAGGCACTCACACACTCCTGCAAGTACTTGAATCAAACCCAGGAGGCAGATTTCCACTCAAGATGGGCTCTATCTGTACATAAATATTAGTAGAATGTCAGTGAAATTACATCTACAAAGAAGAAAAGGAAAATCTAAACATGTCAAGATCCTACGCTTCAAAAACTAAAAAACAAATCTTTTCAAATGATAAAACCATCCCATCCCCCAAGCCTTCCAACTTTGCTCCCTTAATGACAAGAACCCAGACCAGATTAGCTAATAGCAATTAAACCAAAACATGAAATTGCAAAAAAAATAAAAACTTTGAAAGGGGAAAAATGGAAAATTTACCTGAGGGGATGCTATATGGCCAGGATGATAAAGGGATTGTTGCATCAATCCTTGCTGTTGTCTCAGCCTTTGTTGTTGCATCATCTTCAACAAAAATAAAATACAAACTTTAGATTGAAAAAATTGAAAAAAAAAAAAAAAAAAAAAAAACCCCTCAAAGAAGAGGGAAGAGTACAGTAAAACAGAAGATTGAAATGAAAGATAGATATGGCGTTTATATGCCCCATTTGGTATGAGGTTAGATCATTTTATTGGAGGAAAAATAAAAAATTTAAAAAATTAATAAAATATATATTACTTTTTTTCCTATAAAAAATTTATATAATTGTCGATTTTGACGGATTCAATTAATTTAAATTTACGTCTTGTAAAATCTACGGTTGTAGAAAGAAATGAAACTTACTCTATGCATAGGAAGAATAGTGACGACAGATTTATAAAATAAAAATTAAAAAGGATCTCTCGCTTTAAATGAATTGAAACTGAAACATTTGGTCAAAAGTGAAGAAATTTAATTCATTTTGTCGCGTTGTTATTATGGTTTTAATAAGACTACTTTTGGTCAATTATTCTCTGTCTTTTAAAATTATATGGATCAAAAAATATGATATTCGACTTTGATAGATTCAATTAATTCAAATTTACGTCTTGTAAAATCTACTGTTGTAGAAAGAAATGCAACTTACTCTGAAGGACTGGTAAGTCTGGGCGAGTTGATTGAGCATGGTGATCAGTGGGGACAGAGGATTGCAGTGTTTTTTCTATTGAGCTTGCGGTGAGAGATTTGTTTAGTACGATTTACCTTGCGTGCAATGTGTGGGATTATATAGTGTACTTTGCGTGCTTAGGAAGAATAGTGACAGCGAATTTATAAAATAAAAATAAAATAATGTCTCTCGCTTTAAATGAATTGAAACTGAAACATTTGGTCAAAAGTGAAGAAATTTAATTCATTTTGTCGCGTTGTTATTATGGTTTTAATAAGACTACTTTTGGTCAATTATTCTCTGTCTTTTAAAATTATATGGATCAAAAAATATGATATTCGACTTTGATAGATTCAATTAATTCAAATTTACGTCTTGTAAAATCTACTGTTGTAGAAAGAAATGCAACTTACTCGGAAGGACTGGCAAGCCTGGGGGAGTTGATTGAGCATGGTGATACTACAGTGGGGAAGGAGGATTGCAGTGTCTTCTTGATTGAGCTTGTTGTATAGGATTTGCTTAGTGCGATTAATTACCTTGCGTGCAATGTGCGGGTTTATATAGGGGAGTGAGATTTAACTTGCGCGCTTAGGAACAATAGTGATGGCGGATTAATAAAATAAAAAATAAAAAAAGACTCTCTGTTTAAATGAATCAAAACTGAAATATCTAGTCAAAAGTGAATTAATTTCATTCATTTGTCGCGTTGTTATGGTGGATATTAATATGATTACTTTTGGTCAATTATTCTTTGTCGTTTAAAATTATATGAATTAAAAATTATATGATATTCGACTTTGATGAATTCAAATAAATCAAATTTACGTCTTGTAAAATCTACTGTTGTAGAAAGAAATGAAACTTACTCTAAAGGACTGGCAAGCCTGGGCAAGTTGATTGAGCATGGTGATCAGTGGGGATAGAGGATTGTAGTGTTTTTTTTATTGAGCTTGCTGTGAGGGATTTGTCAAGTACAATTTACCTTGTGTGCAATGTGTGGGCTTATATAGAGTACCTTGCGTGCATAGGAAGAATAGTGACGGCAGATTTATAAAATAAAAATAAAAAAAGGTCTCTCACTTTAAATGAATTGAAACTGAAACATTTGGTCAAAAGTAAAGAAAACTAATTAATTTTGTCGCGTTGTTATTATGGTATTAATAAGACTACTTTTGATCAATTATCCCCTGTCTTTTAAAATTATATGAATTAAAAAATATGATATTCGACTTTGATGGATTCAATTAATTCAAATTTATGTCTTGTAAAATCTACTGTTGTAGAAAGAAATGCAACTTACTCTGAAGGACTGGTAAGTCTGGGCGAGTTGATTGAGCATGGTGATACTACAGTGGGGAAGGAGGATTGCAGTGTTTTCTTGATTGAGCTTGTTGTATAGGATTTGTTTAGTGCGGTTTACCTTGCGTGAAATGTACGGGTTTATATAGTGGAGTGAGATTTAACTTGCATGCTTAGGAAGAATAGTGGCGGTGGATTAATAAAATAAAAAATAAAAAAGGTCTCTCTGTTTAAATGAATCAAAACTAAAATATTTAGTCAAAAGTGAATTAATTTCATTCATTTGTCGCGTTGTTTTGGTGAATATTAATATGATTACTTTTGGTCAATTATTCTGTCTTTTAAAATTATATGAATTAAAAATATTATATGATATTCGACTTTGATGGATTCAATTAATTCAAATTTATGTCTTGTAAAATCTACTGTTGTAGAAGAAATGCAACTTACTCTGAAGGACTGGTAAGTCTGGGCGAGTTGATTGAGCATGGTGATCAGTGGGGACGGAGGATTGCAGTGTTTATTTTATTGAGCTTGCGGTGAGGGATTTGTTAAGTACAATTTACCTTGTGTGCAATGTGTGGGATTATATAGTGTACCTTGCGTGCAATTTGCGGGATTATATAGTGTACCTTGCATGCTTAGGAAGAATAGTCACGGCGGATTTATAAAATAAAAATAAAAAAAGGTCTCTCGCTTTAAATGAATTGAAACTGAAACATTTGGTCAAAAGTGAAGAAATTTAATTCATTCTGTCGCGTTGTTATTATGGTATTAATAAGATTACTTTTGGTCAATTATTCTCTGTCTTTTAATTATATGAATTAAAAAAATATGATATTCGACTTTAATGGATTCAATTAATTCAAATTTACGTCTTGTAAAATCTACTGTTGTAGAAAGAAATGCAACTTACTCTGAAGGACTGGCAATCCTGAGCGAGTTGATTGAGCATGGTAATACTATAGTGGGGAAGGAGGATTGCAAAGTCTTCTTGATTGAGCTTGTTGTATAGGATTTGCTTAGTGCGATTTACCTTGCGTGCAATGTGCAAATTTATATAGTGGAGTGAGATTTAACTTGCGTGCTTAGGAAGATTAGTGGCGGCGGATTAATAAAATAAAAAATAAAAAAGGTATCTATGTTTAAATGAATCAAAACTGAAATATCTAGTCAAAAGTGAATTAATTTCATTCATTTGTCGCGTTGTTATGGTGGATATTAATATAATTACTTTTGGTCAATTATTCTCTGTTTTTTAAAATTATATGAATAAAAAATATTATATGATATTCGACTTTGATGAATTCAAATAAATCAAAGTTACGTCTTGTAAATTCTAGAGTTGTAGAAAGAAATGAAACTTACTCTGAAGGACTGGTAAACCTGGGTGAGTTGATTGAGCATGGTGATCAATGGGGACAGAGGATTGCAGTGTTTTTTTTATTGAGCTTGTGTTGAGAGATTTGTTAAGTACAATTTACCTTGTGTGTAATGTGCGGGCTTATATAGTGTACCTTGCATGCTTAGGAAGAATAGTGACGGGAAATTTATAAAATAAAAATTAAAAAATGTCTCTCGTTTTAAATGAATTGAAACTGAAACATTTGGTCAAAAGTGAAGAAATTTAATTCATTTTTTCACGTTATTATTATGGTATTAATAAGACTACTTTTGGTCAATTATTCTCTATTTATAAAAATTATATGAATAAAAAAATATGATATTCGACTTTGATAGATTCAATTAATTCAAATTTACGTCTTGTAAAATCTACTGTTGTAGAAAGAAATGCAACTTACTCGGAAGGACTGGCAAGCCTGGGGGAGTTGATTGAGCATGGTGATACTACAGTGGGGAAGGAGGATTGCAGTGTCTTCTTGATTGAGCTTGTTGTATAGGATTTGCTTAGTGCGATTTACCTTGCGTGCAATGTGCGAGTTTATAAAGGGGAGTGAGATTTAACTTGCGTGCTTAGGAACAATAGTGATGGCGGATTAATAAAATAAAAAATAAAAAAAGACTCTGTTTAAATGAATCAAAACTGAAATATCTAGTCAAAAGTGAATTAATTTCATTCATTTGTCGCGTTGTTATGGTGGATATTAATATGATTACTTTTGGTCAATTATTCTTTGTCGTTTAAAATTATATGAATTAAAAAATTATATGATATTCGACTTTGATGAATTCAAATAAATCAAATTTACGTCTTGTAAAATCTACTGTTGTAGAAAGAAATGAAACTTACTCTGAAGGACTGGCAAGCCTGGGCAAGTTGATTGAGCATGGTGATCAGTGGGGATAGAGGATTGCAGTGTTTTTTTTTATTGAGCTTGCTGTGAGGGATTTGTCAAGTACAATTTACCTTGTTTGCAATGTGTGGACTTATATAGAGTACCTTGCGTGCATAGGAAGAATAGTGACGACAGATTTATAAAATAAAAATTAAAAAGGATCTCTCGCTTTAAATGAATTGAAACTGAAACATTTGGTCAAAAGTGAAGAAATTTAATTAATTTTGCCGCGTTGTTATTATGGTATTAATAAGACTACTTTTGGTCAATTATTCTCTGTCTTTTAAAATTATATGAATTAAAAAATATGATATTCGACTTTAATAGATTCAATTAATTCAAATTTATGTCTTGTAAAATCTATTGTTGTAGAAAGAAATGCAACTTACTCTGAAGGACTGGCAAGCCTGGGTGAGTTGATTGAGCATGGTGATACTACAGTGGGGAAGGAGGATTGCAGTGTTTTCTTGATTGAGCTTGTTGTATAGGATTTTCTTAGTGCGATTTACCTTGCGTGCAATGTGCGGGTTTATATAGTGGAGTGAGATTTAACTTGCATTCTTAGTAAGAATAGTGACGGCGGATTAATAAAATAAAAAATAAAAAAGATCTCTTTATTTAAATGAATCAAAACTGAAATATTTAGTCAAAAGTGAATTAATTTCATTCATTTGTCGCGTTGTTATGGTGGATATTAATATGATTACTTTTGGTCAATTATTCTGTCTTTTAAAATTATATGATATTCGACTTTGGTTGATTCAATTAATTCAAATTTATGTCTTGTAAAATCTACTGTTGTAGAAAGAAATGCAACTTACTGTGAATGTATGAGATTTGCTTAGTGTGATTTACCTTGCTTGCAATGTGCGAATTTTTATAGTGGAGTGAGATTTAGCTTGCGTGCCTAGGAAGAATAGTGGTGGCGGACTTATAAAATAAAATAAATAAAAAAAGTTTCTCTGTTTAATTGAGTCGAAACTGATATATTTTGTCAAAAGTGAATTAAATTCATTCATTTTGTCGCATTGTTATGGTGGTGTTAATATGATTACTTTTGGTCAATTATTCTTTGTCTTCTAAATTATTTGAATTAAAAAATTATATGATATTCGACTTTGATAGATTCAATTAATTCAAATTTACGTATTGTAAAATCTATTGTTGTAGAAGGAAATGCAACTTACTCTGAAGTACTGCGAGCATGGGTGAGTTGATTGAGCATGGTAATAGTTCAGTGGGGACGGAGGATTGCAATGTTTTCTTTATTGAGCTTGTTGTATTGTATTTGCTTAGTGTGATTTACCTTGCGTGCAATGTGCGGATTTATATAGTGGAGTGAAATTTAGCTTGCGTGCCTAGGAAGAATAGTGGCGGCGGATTTATAAAATAGAAATTAAAAAAATATTTTTCTGTTTAAATGAGTCAAAACTGAAATATTTAGTCAAAAGTGAATTACTTTCATTCATTTTGTCGCGTTGTTATGGTGGTGTTAATATGATTACTTTTGGTCAATTATTATTTGTCTTTTAAAATTATATGAATTCGAGGCGTGCAAAAATCGAGTCGATCAATAAATCGAATAAAAAAATGTTATTGATTTATTACTATTGGGCTAACGATTTTTAATGGTTTTATAAGAAACATTATCGGATTACCGGTTCGATCGTGTTTTTTTAATATTGGATTATTGGACGAATCGATAACTCATTGAGACTGTATTACCTTACTACTTTACATGTACATAAATATTAAATATTATTTGCAATAACTTACTAGTTGTTGTCTTCGCTTTTTAGCCTTCAAATCGATAATATATAAAATCAAACCGACCAATGCACACTCCTAAATTATAAATGTCTTTTCATTATTTAATAATTTTAATTATAAAAGTGTTTGTCATAAATCTTTAGAAGATGAAATTTGGAGAGGAGAATTTGCTGTATTTATGTAAATTTGACAAAACTGCAAAAACGTTCTAGTCAAATTATGATTTGTTTTGACTAAAAATGTCCAGATCATTTATATATTTGACATGAATTTATTGTAATGTTAAAATTATGACTAATGTACTTCTCTCGTGTTATTTTCTTGGAAAAAAAAAGAAGAAGAAAAGAATAATTAATTTACTATATTTGAAACTTTCATTTTTGACAATTATTAGACAAAAAATGATACTATTCAAAAAGTCAACATATTTTTTTTAAATGTCTCACATAGTTAATATGTAAATTAATTACTTTATTGTATATATTTAAAAATTAATCTTTTATTTTTTTTCCTATCATAAGACTACATTAGAAGATCTGAAAAAGGCATTTACATTATAAAAGTTCTTGAAACAAAAGTACTAGGTTCAAAATTAACGTACAAACAAGATAATTTATCCTTAACTAATAAAAGTTGCATATGAATCTTTTTCTTCTCTTTATATTTCATATTTATTAAAAATTTATATCGATGTCAATAATATATAAGTTTTTCAGAATAACGTTTTAATAAGTTTTTAATTTTATTTAATCTTGTATATTGAACTTTATCAGTCCAACATTCACTATCAATTCACATTATTCCTCTTATAGTTGTTAGGTAAGATGTGCCTTTCAATCATCAAGGATGACAATAGGACGGATTGACAAGTCTTGATCCGCTAAGATTTTAATCATGATCGTCTTAACATTTGTGGGTGCTTGTGGGTGTTTAGTTGATACATAATAAATTCATGAATAATTATAACATAATCAGTGTACCTACAGATGAAGTCTAGAGAGGTAGGATATACGCAAACATCATGAAGTAAAAATGTAAATAATGTAAATTTTCAATGAAAAATTTATAATATAAAGTTAGAAACACAGAATGATAAAACTTGACTCAATTTTTAAAAAAAAAATATATAATAATATTGAAATAGTGTTACACTGAATTTGATGAGTTGATATAATAATATTCAAATATTGTTGATTAATTTTAGTGCTCCAAATTTGAAGAAGACACCAAAAAAAATTGATCTTTTTTTTAAACACAGAACAGTAAATTTTGCATAATGTAGAAGGTTTGATCGTTTGAGGGACTTTAGAATATTCAATAAATGAGATAATAAAAATAGTAAAAAATAAATTAAAAATAAATAAATACAAGAATAATAATGTTGGTTCATGATAATAATCATAATATAAGCGAGACAACAAAATAGATAGCTACATAAGAAAAGATGCTATAATTAACTAAACATTATTTCATTTCTCAATTATTACAACGATTTATTTATTAAATGAGGTGAAAATTATTATATTTTCTATCCAAAAATCTTTTAAATTTGTGCCTGCGTATATGCGCGCGCGTTTATTTTTACCCGCAAGAACGATGAACCAAGAAAACTGGAAAAAAAAAAAAACTCTATAGTCTTTCCAGATTCATATATTTGCTCAAGATTTTTTTTTTGTTTTTTTGTCAAAAAATGGAGTAAATTGTAGTTTAACTTTAAAACAAAAATATTTCATTTTACCTCCCCAGCAAGAACCAAGAGCACTCTAAAAACAAGCTTTAATTTTTGCTCAAGAGTTGTGTAAAAAATAAACATAATAAGTAATTTGAGACGAAAAAAATGTTATTTAATTAAAAAAATCCTATAGTGTACATATATGTATACACCTCCTTTGTCCTTTCAAGTTTATTTTTATCCTAACTCAATCAATAACATTCACTTCAATAATAAAATAAATTTCTCTTCCAAACAATTTTACTAATAAAAAGTGATTTTCATATCGATTAGTCAAAAAAGTACATCCTCTTATGTATAGAAAATCACATATGTTGTAACAATTCTAGCAACCAAAAAAATGTCTAGAAGTGTCCACAAAATCAACAAATAAAGTACTATTTCTAATTTTTATACTTATAATATTAACCATTAATGAATATAATGTAACAATTTTTAGATCCTTCAAAAATTCCAAAGAAATGAAGTCCCTTGTGATTGAAATCCATCGTAGTTCAAATAATTCTCTTCTTCTAATGATTCCAAATTAGGCATTTGCGATGGTTGTGGTGACGGTGGTGGTATAAAAAATTCACCCGATAAATCATCGAACCCCGGAAAAATTCCGAAATCGGACATATCATTAACCGTCCCCAACGATGAAAACATGTCCATAAATCCATTATCCAAGGACATTTCCGTCTTTTCACTTTCTACCCTCCCGGAAACCGGTGACTCCACCCGATACATATTGATAAAATCATTACCCAAGGTTATTTCCGTCTTTTCACTTTCTACTCTATCGGAAACTGACACCGACGGCGATTCCGCCAGGAATATTTCCGATGAGGAAGAAGAAAGATCCGAATTCTCCCTCGGTCCGACCCGGATAAGCTCGGGTTCTGTATTATTCGCAAACTGTGCCGCCGCCGATTGAATCTCCGACGGAGTCATCGACCTTCCGTTCATAATCTCCGGTGGATTTTCCGGGAAATTGAAATTAGCCCCTTTACCCCGCAAACAAAAAAGTGCGGCGTCGAATGCTTTAGCAGCTTTTTCCGGCGTATCATAAGAACCCAACCAAATTCTTTCTCTACTATTAGGTAATCTAATTTCCGATACCCATTTCCCCCATTTCCTCTTCCTTACTCCCCGATACAAAGATGACGATGACGATGAAGGTGAAAATTCAGTATCTTTTGAATTGGGTTTCACCATTTTTAATCAATTTTTAAAGTTTTTTTTTTGAAATTGAAGTTAAATTGATGAAAATTGATGTGGGTTGTTGTTAAAATTTGGAATTGGCGGCTCTATATATATGTTGTGTGAGAGTGAAGTGAGAGTGTAGGTCAACAGGCCGTGTTGTGGACTACGCGGTTGGGGTATTTTAGAAGAAGATGAAAGAGGAAGAAGAGGACCACGTTTGATTTAACTTCCTCGTGGGGGATGAAATTATATTTTTTTGGATGTATCCTGGAAGCTGGGGTATAACTTAATTTTTCTCCGTCTCAAATTATTCATCGTGATTTTGAAAATAATATAGTTGAGGTAATCAACTCAGCTAAAAAAAATTCCGATTTACTTCTACGTCTCTTAAACCTCCTATAGTCAATCTTCTAGACTATGATCGAAATCTCAGAGACACACCTTAACTAATCTAAGGTCCTATTATCCCTGAACTCATTTTTCGTGTAATTTTGTACACCTTTTGGCTTACGTTTCGTGACTCCACTTAGGTGAGGTGCGTGAGAGATGTTTGGAGGTCATGTAGGCAAAAAAATGTGTATAAAATTACAAAAAAAAAAAGAAAAAGTTCAAGGGGTAATATAGGACTTTAGTTTAGTTAAGGTGTGTCTCTGAAATTTCGATCATGGTCTAGGGGCTCTACTTTTGCCTTATCCCTAATGTATTTGTGCATCTCTTCTCTATATGCTCATATCATTTCAGTTTCGATTTCCTTATTTTATCTACTATGGAGACTACTTCACTTTGTCACGTATAATTTCATTCTTCATCTTATCTCTCTTCTCTTAATATGCCTATTGCCTACATGTTTATATTTTCATCTCATCTATGATTATTGTTAAAAATAGTTATATCAAATGACTTGTCATTTTAAATATTAAGACGGAAAAAATTATATTTTTCATTTTATTTTTAATAATTGTTTTTTAAAAATTATAAGCACCTTAATAGAGTAAATGTTTAATGAATAAAAATATATATTTTAAGATATTAATGAGAGTAAGATAGTTAAAAAACCGTTCTTAGAAGTTTTTAAGAGACGTATAAAATAATATCGCAGATAATTTGAGACGGAGAAAATATATATGCGCTTTTGAGATGCCACTTGTTTGGACGTAATATGATATGTCAGCATTTTTTTATTTTTCTTTTGTGCAACCCACTTTGACATTTGTCTTTGTTTATTCACCCACTTGTTGTCCTTTATGATAAGTACTATTAATTGATCCAACTTATCTAATCGTTTGTTTCATTTTTATCGAGGGCAATAGAATTAGGTCCGAGTCCTTTGGATGCAAAATCGTTTTCGTAAAGAAGTGCTTTATTTTTTAATGTGGAATTTTTTATCGTAAATTTGAATTTAGTCAGGTTCTAATGTGAGTATCGGACACATGATGGACATACATAAATTAAAGATTTAAAGAGTATTATTAGGACGAGGTGAATTTATGATTTAAATTTAACAAGTTCATTTTTAAATTCTTATCATTAAACACAACATGTTTTCCAAATTATAAGTTTAATTTAATTTATTTTTGAAATTTAATTTTTTATTTTAACACACACACATATGTACGAGAGAGTTGATTTTATATGTTGTATATAATTATTGTTATTTATATTATCAATAAATATTATGATTTTTTATGATTAAAAATTGTTAGGACAATACGAAAAATGGGAGTCCAAAAGTAATATATAATCTATCTTTGGTACGTACGTTCTAAAAAAATATAATAAAATGTAGTACGGATGAATTCTTAGTTAATTAAAAAAAAAAAAAAAACAGGGAGTTTTAGTCAATATTAATATTAATTTTTTGTACTTTGGTTATTGCAAAAGTCAATAATTAATCCTAGTATTTGTAGAAAAAATAATTAAAGGAGCTAAGCATGCTTAGTGAGACTATGTTACTTCTTAATTACGCGTGTTACTTTACTTAATTTGATTTTCTTGTTATGACTAGAAATTAAACAAGCTTACTAATAAAAAAAGAAATTACTTTCCGATAAAATAATGAAGTTATTTTTGAAAATTTAAGGTTTTGTTTGAAAAAATCAAATTAGAAGGACCAGTGAGGAAGAAGATGTTGTGGGCGGGATTTAAGGATCGTATAACACTGTTTTATCATGCGCTATTATTGTAGAGTTATAGCGCATGAAAAAACTGTTATATGTAGATTGAGTATCGCCTCTATTTTATTTTATTTTAAAGGATCATTTCTCAATTTGTGTGGCCATTCTTGCACAGGGACCAGGGGCGGATCGATCAGAGCTATCCTTACTTGTGGAGTGTGAAAATTATATTAATAAGTCAAATTTAGTTTTATGAGTATTTGTATCAATATGGATATTTCTTGACAAAGGTTGAAGGTTCACACAATATTTAAAATAGCAAAACTTTCTTAAAAGTTGTATATTCGATTCTAGCTAGCGATGTTTTTATTTACGTCTTTTAATAAAAAAATCCGACTCCGCCACTTGTAAGGACTATTATAAGCTTCTTTATATCGTTCCATCAGATGTCCCCAAAGCAACGTCATTGTCTTGATCCATTTTGACTTTTTTTCCCGTTATTTAAGTTTCACAACATCAAATTTTAACACCTCCTTTACAGCGACCGTCAAAACTAATTAACGTCATGTGAAAGCAATAAATATAATCCATGTCATCGAAGGAGCTCAGGTGACTATATGCACTGATTTGAACTGTTACTATCAACTCAAATATCTTTTTAAAATATTAAATTCTAAATTCATAAACTTTAAATTTTAGTTTGGCGTATACCGCGGACGTAAGAGCTAACGTCTTTAACATGTGGAAGCAATAAATATGGTGTCATCTAAGGAGCTCATGTGACTAAATGCACCTGACTAGATCTGTTACTATCAAAATATAAAAATAAATAAATAAATACTATATAATATAAGAAAAAAGGTACCACGTTTAAACCATTGTTTCATTTGTTATATGTTATAGTCTTTACTATATAAAATTTTAAAAAAAATCAAATTAGACTGTTGTAAATTCATATATATATATATCAGCATCAGCGTGTGGACTTGAAAGAAGAGAAATATTACAAGAATTCTCCTACTCTTTTCATCTAATTAATTATGACAAAGTTTGAACTAAAAATCTTTACTTTTTTTTTTATGAATAATTATCACTAGGCCTTGAAGTATTTTTTTCCTCCCACAAAGTACAAAATGATAATTTTATATAGTCATTTTGGCGGTGGTTTAATTGGTAGGTTGAGTAAATAATTTTTTAAATGGTGAGTTCTGAATTTGATATCATTTGCATGCGTTTTTCAATTAAGTTCATCGCACATGATTTGCTTAGTATAATTTCTACTGATCTTCTATGTGATTTATGAACTATTATACTAAAGTGAAACTTACCGAGACCACATTCAAATTGATTCGATTTTCTTGTACCAAAAATATATTTTTTTTAAATCTAAATATTTCCTCCTCTCATATAAAATGGTACTAGTTGCTATATAATTGACTATATTTAACTTGACACATTTTTTAAGAAATAAAACGGCTAATTTTACTATACTTTCACTTAAGTTTATATAAAATTGAACAAGTAGAAACATACGTCCTACGTGACATAATACATATAAAACGTCACGTATGACACATATATCTACTTGTTCAACTTATGCAAATTTAAGTGTTTACTTATACACACCGTAAATACTCTCTATACATCCTTCATTCTCATTTTTCTCATGGATAATAGTAGCAATATTTTTTACTGTGTCTAGGAAGCTGGGTATAATAATAAGTTAATTAAGATAAATGCCACGTAGTTTGGACATAATTTGACATGTCAGCATTTTTTGCTTTTTTGTGGGACCCACTTTGACAACATGTCACTTTCTGGTCCTTTTGCTTGTCTATTTTTGGAGTGTTTTAGGTCTATTTTTATTGTTCAAATATAGTAATTTTGAGTATTTTTAATTTTATAATTTACTAAAATAGAGCATCTTTGATATAACGAACAAAATAAATTTAAAAATTAACATTGGGTTGAGTGATCGAGAATCGGGTATCGGCCCTGTTGAATTATGTAGGAGCAGAAGTAGGTAAGTTAGTATTGATTTGGTGAAGAAAAGAGAATTTAGTTAATAGAAATATTATATCAGAAAGAAGTATCTAGTCAAATATCTTAAAATATTCACGGGAAAAGAAGGAATTTAAAGATAGATAGAAAAGATTGTTAGAATAAGTAATAGCAAATTAGGTTAGTATTGATTCAGTGAAAAAGAGAGAACTTAGTTGATTAAAATTGTTAAATCTGGAGGAAGCATCTGATCACATATTTTAAAATTTTCACGAAAAATTAAAAACGAACTCAGTCGCTCTAATTCTAAATACAACGAAAATATTCGAAAGCTACATATAAAACGCACCAAAAATCATTTGAAAAAATTGATATATACATTTTGGATGGATAGAAAAAACTAATCGAGCTCCGTCAATTTTTCTTACATCAAAACCTAAAAAGTTTTTAATTTTTTTTTTCAATTTTTTAGTAAAGAATGCTTTATCTAAAGTTGAATTTCAACACGAATTCAATTTATTTTTTTATCGATAGTGAGAAACCAAACAAAAATTAGGCATAAAAGGGTTGTTAAATATTTGGTTAGCAGTCAGCAGTATTCTCATTTTTTTCCCTCTCAAACTTCAAATTATATTATGATAATGATAAGCGTGTTCATTTATTCTTTCTTTAAAGCACTCATTACTTATCAAAAACATAGTATATATATATTCACACCTACATATTTAATCTAAGTTATAATTGAATTTTACTTTATTCATTTATTTTTATTTGTCACATTTTACTGTATGAGAATTAATTTAACTAATTTGCAAAGAGGTAAATTGAACTATTATTAATATGATGAAACTATATTTTAAATATTGATAAAAAAATTCACTCAGTTTGACTCTTGAAAAATAAACTATAACAACTAAAAATGAACCGAAAAAATAATTGTTTCTTTTCCTTATAAAGAACGTTCCATTATAATGACGATTATTGATATTATATAAAGATATAATTAATATAATATAAGATCGATAGTAAATAATAAATGTTTGTTGTAATAGAATATTATTACAGAAATAAAAGTAATATACATGTCCGATCATATATATAGAAAGAAAAAATTTCATCATGCTAGTTTATATAGATATATATATATATATATATATACACACTCATGATTTTTCACCTTGTTCCATTTTATTTAGTGTTCTTTCCTTCTTATTAGGTCCATTTCAGTTAGTGAATTTCAAGGGTGTGACCTAAAGTTAGAAAAGTGAATTCAAATCTCGAAAATTATAATTCAAATCTCAGCAAAAAGTATATACTAGATGATTTTTTTTTTGTATATTTGTTCAAGTCATGATTTGTGTAGAGTTTAATAATCAAACATGTGGCTAGCGGGAGAGCCTGGTAGGGCTGAGAGTTTCATTCAATCTGCCTTCAACAGAATAATTATATTGTTCACTTATAATTAAAATTATTTTATTATGTATAGAGTATATATGTCAATTTTATTTTATTTTGACTTTTTTATATATTTCTTTTTCAATATTTTTTAAAAAAAATTATGACTTCGTCACTAATTACGAGGTGCACCTAACTAGAAGTGTTACTATCAAATAATTAATGCCACCAGGTTAGTCAAATTAGACTTGTTGTGATTCCTAACTCTCAGCGTGTGGACTCCAAAAAGATCTAGAAGTTGGAATATTAATTACAACAATTCTCCAAATGATAATGATATGGAACTAATGTAGTAAAATTACAAAAAAAATATTTAAAAATTCTCATAACTTAAATAAAATTTGTGCTTTAATTAGAAAATTGGTGATAGGAAATAGTATCATCGTTTGAATTTATATGTTACCATATGTATATGTCACTCAATTTGAGGCCATAGTAGTTAGTAATAGGAAAAACCACTATATACTATTATTATTTATATTTTTAAAATATTACGTATCTTACTACTAATAAGATAAGGTACAAATATCCCCTAGACTACGACCAAAATCATAGAGACACATTTTAACAAAAACTAAGGTCCTATTACCCCCCACCCCCCAACTCACTTTTTTTGAAATTGTGTACACCTTTTGGCTGGCTTACGGGTCACACTTTGTGACTCCACGTGTGTACAAAATTACAAAAAAAGTAGGTTCGAAGGGGGGGGGGGGAGGGGAGGGGATAATAGGACCTTAGTTTAGTTAAGGTGTCTCTCTAGGATTTTGTTCATAGTCTAGGAGGTACTTGTGTCTTATTTCTACTACTAATTAAGAGTTTCCTACGTATCTTAGACTTAGATACATGTATTTTTGCTACTAGATACACAAAAATGGGGAGAGAACTGAGCGAGATTGGGGAGAGAGGTGATCCAGGTTCGTGTATATCTTAGATACATGTGAATCACACTAGATACATGTATTTGTATGTATCTAGAGTGACTCTCTCTAGATACATGAGAGAGTGGCGAGCGAGATGGGAGAGAGGCGAGGAAGGCGAGCGAGATTTGCTATGTATCCCAGATATAAGCGAATCCACTTGAATATAATGTATCTAAAATAAATTACACCTAAATTTGACCCCATTTATCTGAGATACATATACCTGAACATTTTTGTAGGCACCAAAATCTGGTAAGATACATAATATTGTAAACTAGAGTGTATCTAAGTCAACTTTGATTTAAGAGTTAATTTTTTTTAATGTATCATATATTGGAAATAATTTTATATGTAGCTAAAAATAAAAAAAAATAAAAAATCCCTTGTTTTTGGACCTATTTTGTTATCCCTTTGTATCTTCCACAGTCTAAACACACATCTCATTTACTCACTCAAACCAATTTTCCCAAATAAAGGTACTTCCTTTTTCATGATTGATTGAAATTCTTGAGTTTATCTTTAAATTTACTATTTTTTGGCTTGTGGGGTTTATCTATGTTAATGTATTCTTGACTTAATTAACAAATCTTGAATTTTTATCTTATTGTATTCTTTTTGCTTTTGGTTACTGAAGAAATTGACCCTTTTTTGTTTGTGGGGTTTCTTGATTTTTTAGCTCAGAAGAAATGGTAACAACTCAGATGGCAGCATCATCCATATCTGCTAAAGGGTTTGTTTCATTTGAAGGACTTAGGTCTACTAGTAATGTAAAGATTGCATCTTTTGGTCATTTGAAGCAGAATATGAGGTTTTTTCATGGACTTGTTGTTAAGGCTGCAACTGTTGTTGCTCCTAAGGTATGCAAATTTGCTGTCTTTTTCTCTGTTGGTTCTTGTTTTGTTTCATTAGTTTAGTTAGTTAGTTATAGTAGCTGAATAGATAGGAAGAATTAACTTGATGGGATTTTTGGGCTCCCTAATTAGTTGCCAATGGGCGGAGCTACAGGGCGTTTTGGTGGAAAATTACATTGTATATACAGTAGATGTTGAATCGTTAGCTTCTTCGTGTGCTTAATTCAATATATTTGGAGCCCCTTAGTGAAATATTGGTATGCCACTGATGTTCGACTATGTCATGTTTTGGTGAGTCAATGTTGTAGTATAGTAGATGTTGAATCCTGTTGGCTTCTTCGTGCATTTACTTCTTTATTTCATTAAGTTAGTTAGCTATAATAGCTAGGAAGAATTAATTTGATGGGTTTTTTCTGCTTCCGAATTGATTGCTACTTCATGGGCAAAGCTAGGGGGTCATCCAAACCCCCTTCATGGGAAAATTATATACTATATATAAGGGGTTAAAACTCTTTTTTATCTACTTACGTAACAAATGTTGAATACCCTTGGCTTCTTCGTGTGTTTATTTCCTTATATTTTGAATCCCCGTGGTGAAAATTGTCCGCCAACCATATTTCTACTATATCAAATTTTTGTGAGTCAATGTTGTTAATTAGCTTTATTGCTCTCAACGGGAAAGTTGGCTATCAAGCTACTAACTAATTTAAGATCACTTTTCTGATGTGTTACTGAGTTGCTATCTCATGTAGTTGGTTAAACTACACGACTAGTTTCCTCGCGGAAGAGCTGTGATTCTGATATTTCATAGGCTGAGTGTTTCCGTTGTTGTTCTCGCAGGAAAGTTTTCATATTTATCATTTTCTTTATTCTCTTCTTGTTGTTCGTGCAGTACACTTCAGTTAAACCTTTGAGTGATAGAGTTTTGGTGAAGATTAAGACTGCAGAGGAGAAGACTGTTGGTGGTATCCTACTTCCAACAACGGCACAGTCAAATCCACAAGGAGGTGAGATTGTTGCTGTCGGAGAGGGTCGTTTAGTTGGGAAGAGTAAAGTGGAAATTAGTGTGAAGGTAATTTCATAATCAAGTTATGTGTTCAACCTTGCTTTTATCCGTGGCCGATCTTTTTCTAAAAATGATCTTATTGTGTAGACTGGTACCCAAGTGTTGTACTCAAAATATGTGGGAACCGAAGTGCAGTTTGATGGATCAAAGCACCTGATCTTGAAAGAAGATGACATTGTTGGTATTCTCGAAACAGAAGACATCAAAGACCTGCTGCCCTTGAACGACAGAGTTCTAATCAAGGTTTGTCATTATCACACTGTATCTCCCTGTTTGTGTGTCATCTACGTTTTGATTAAGCGATACACGCTCTGCATGATAAACATTTGTACATAATGAGCGTTTTCCCCCCAATTCTATTTTTTTAAAAGTAGTTCTTGCTTACTGATCTGGATGTCATGTTTTGATCTCGTTATTATTTGCTATGTCTGCTTTGCGTCTGTATGTTATGAGTTACATGAGCCGGGTGGCGTTGAATGACTAGTGGTAATTTGGTCATCGCATTTTATCAGGTGGCCGAGGCTGAGGAAAAAACTGCTGGAGGATTGTTTTTGAGTGAGTCTTCAAAGGAGAAACCTTCGATTGGCACGGTAAAAATATTCACACTGCAGTTCAGCTAGTATTATTACTCCGTTTATTATTTCTCCCGTGTCTGATATTATCCCCGTGTAACTAATGATGGTGAACCAAATGATCCCTAAACGTAAAGAATCTCCGCTATCAGCATATGTTAACATGTTATAGTAGGTTATTAATGTTTGCTTTTTTATAGACAGTTACCTGTCGATATCTTTTAGGTGACCTGATTGTAAAAAACGTCAGTGTATGAAAGTTAAACTTTTGCTGAAATCGGTTACCTTTTTCGTGATTGTAACAGGTAGTAGCCGTTGGTCCCGGTCCTCTTGATGAGGAAGGAAACAGGACATTACTTTCAGTATCCCCTGGAAATACAGTTTTGTATTCCAAATATGCTGGCAATGACTTCAAAGGAGCTGATGGCTCTGATTATATCACATTAAGGGCATCTGATGTAATGGCTGTGCTTTCATAGATGAATAATCACTCTTTTCGATCGAAGAAGAATTGGGGAGGGGTGATTAGAGAGAACATGACACATCTTCTGCTCATCGAGGGTCATGACCCTAGATTAGGAGAGAGTGTTAGTAGGTAGTCGAGCGATTTTTTTTTTTTTTTTAGGAGGAGAGCTCTTCTCTTTTCAATATTATTCTATTATTTTCTTATTCTTCATTTTTATTAATATGTTTGTTTCTTTTTCTTTGGTTACCTTATTATTTTTATTGTCAATATTTTTTTCTTTTTAGTATTTTCATCTGAGCTTCTTTCACTCTTGTATTACGTTTTTCTAAAGTCGTGGTCTATTAAAAACAACCTCTCTATCACATGCAAGGTAAGAGTAAGGTCTGTATAGCATTAAACTTTTACAATGTGATCACACTGAATATGTTGTTGATATGCTCATTCTCATATCAATTAGAAAAAGTAAATAATGAATTGGATTGTGTATTTACGTAAAGATCTCTTTGTTTGATGATGTTGATGCAGCGGAATAAATATTTAGTAGAAAGGTTGTTTCCGATATTGCCAATACCAAAGGAAACATAATCAAATACACAATGCATAAACGTGAAAAATCTACTCAAATGTTTAACATACTTAATATCATAAATTTAATTTTATTTTAAAAATAAATTATTGTCCAAGTGAGACTGAGATAGTATTTCTTTGTTCGATTAATACATTTATCTTCAAATTCAAAGTAAAAATTTTACCACGTTATTTTTTTTAATAAGATCTTTCTACAATAGTTGGTTAAGTTCCGCTCTTACTATTGGGTCATTGCAATTACGGGTTAGATGACACTAAATAGTTATACGAGTATCTCGTCCCCTTCCAAGTTTGGACGAAAAAAGAAAAAGAACAATAGCAACAATAGTATCAAGTATAGCCTCATAAGTGGAATGTTATTGTTAGGTAGAGATGCGATTTTCGATAAACACAATTTTTTATTTTTATTTATTTTTTATTTTTAAATAAGAAGAAAAAGTCCCCTCTTAGAAACTTCTAGGGTTTTGTTATCCTTAACAGCTCTACACATTTTATCTTCAAACAGTCTAAAACACACCCCTTATTCACTCCTCACTCCATAGTAGAGAAAACCTCTCCATTGCTACCAGTCAAACCTATTTTGTCAATAAAGGTACTTCCTTTTTAATGATTTGATTGAAATTCTTGAGCTTTTCTCATTAAATTTACTATAATTTTGCTTCTGTTTGCTGTTCTTGTGACCATTTTTGTATAGGGGTTCTTGATTTAGTTCAGAATTTTATGGTTCTTATCTAGAGAAAACTTCTCCTTTGTTATTAGTGAAACCAATTTTCCAATAAAGGTGCTACCTTTATTATCATTGACCAACATTCTTGAATTTTTGTCTTCCAATTTACCATAATTTTGTTTCTGCTGTGCTATTTTTGTTGTGGGGTTCTTGATTTAGTTCAGAATGTTATGGTTCTTATATGTAACTGTTCCTATTTTTTGCTTCTGGCTGTGCTGCTTTTATCTTTAATTCTATAGCTAGTCACAATTTTTACTATTTTTGCTTGTCTGGAGCTGCTGTTTTACCCTTTTTGTTGTGGGGATTGATTTAGTTCACAATTATATGGTTCTTACCTTTGGTTTTGCTCTTTTTGCATGTGGGGTACCATTTGTTGTGGGGTTCTTGATTACATTCATAATTCTTGAGTTTTTATTCATACTTGTACACTTTTGGCTACTGGTATTTGAGGATATTGACCATTTCTGTTGTGGGGTTTCTTGATTGAGCTCAGAAAGGAATGGCGACAACTCAGCTGACCGCGTCATCCATTTCTGCCAAGGGTTTTGCATCCTTTGAGGGGCTTAGGTCCATAAGTAATTTAAAGGTTTCGTCTTTCGCTCCTTTAAAGCAGAATAGCAGGTCGTTTCATGGACTTGTCATTAAGGCTTCAACAGTCGTATCCCCCAAGGTATATAGTTTGGTTTATTTCTTGTATAGTTCTTGTTTTATGTTTTGCTTGAAATCTAATAGCTGCGAAGGTAGGTAGAATCACCTTGATGGGTTCTTTCCACTGTTCCCAAATTTGTAGTTATATGACCATGTCAACTTTTCGTTTGTCAAAGTTGCAATTTGTAAATTAGAGTTAAGAGCATTGGTAGATGTAATCTGCTGGGAATAGTTTTCCGAACCACTTACTTTCAACACAAAATTGGACTGCTTAAAGTAAGTTGCTAATTGAGTTAAGCTGACTGTTCTGATGTCTATGTAGCTTTGTCTGTGGTTGGTTAAGCTACGTGATGAGGTTGTTATTGGGTTGTTGCCTATTGTGTTCTAGTTTTCCAAGTCAGTGAGCTGGGTTCTGGCATTCATAGCCTGGATAAAATAGATATCTTCTGTCAAATATGTATTTGAAAATCAAAGATGAATTCGTTGAACATGGTTATATCTGTTATTTTCTGCATTCGGTTAGTTGATTGTATTAATCAATTTTAGTATCTAGTGGTTTTCAGAGTCTAGTTTTGTCAGTCGGGGAAGTTTTCATATTTATATGCTTCCTTGTTCTGTTGTTGTTGTTCGCACAGTACACTTCACTCAAACCATTGGGTGATAGAGTTCTGGTGAAGATTAAGACTGCAGAGGAGAAGAGTGTAGGCGGCATCCTGCTTCCGATGTCAGCACAGTCGAAGCCACAAGGAGGCGAGGTTGTTGCTGTTGGGGAGGGTCATTCAATTGGCAAGACTACAGTGGAAATTAGTATAAAGGTAGTTCCGTAACCAATGTCATACTCAACATGTCTTCTAAGCATGGTTGATCATTTTTCTTAACGGATCGTATTACGTGTAGAATGGTACCCAAGTACTGTACTCAAAATATGCGGGAACCGAACTGGAGTTCGATGGATCTAAGCACCTGATTTTGAAAGAGGATGACATTGTTGGTATTCTTGAGACAGATGATATCAAGGATCTGCAGCCCTTGAATGACAGAGTTCTAATCAAGGTTTGTTGCTATTGCTCTTTTATTTGTTTCTTTTCTGTGGCATCCATATTTTGATTAAATGGTGCATACTCTGTTTGATAAATATTTCTACATTATTTGCTGTTCTCCAATATCATTTTCTTCGGATAATGGTAAAAAAACACACCCGAATAATCATTTTTTCCGCGAGTTCTATATCCCAATTATCAATTGTTTCCTTTATCTACCTGAACTATTACCATCTATGGCTTGTCACGAATTTCATATCCCAATATAATCAATTGTTCCTTTTATCTACCTGTACTATTTCCATCTACGCCTTGTCAAAAGTATATCAAAACTATCATTTTTTTCGCTATTTTCACACCCAACTATCACTTGTTCCTTTTACGTACATGAACCATCACCATCCATGCCTTCTTCTACCTTAACTACTATGTATTAAGACACACCTAGTTGAAAAGATAGTGATAGTTCAGATAGGAAAAGGAAACAACTGATGGTTGGCCTAATCAACTTCGAGGTGTGTTTTAATATATCAATGATGATTATTTCGGTAGAAAAAGAAAACAACTGATGGTTGGAGTGTGAGAAAGTGATAGTTTTGGTGTGTCTTCGACCATTAATTCCCTTTTTTTAGTATTAAGTTTTGGTTGATGAGAGTTTTGAATTTTTTTTCAGGTGGCTGAAGTTGAGGAAAAAACTACTGGGGGATTGTTTTTGAGCCAGGCTGCAAAGGAGAAACCTTCATTTGGCACGGTAAAAATATGCACCATGCAGTTCAGCTAGTATTATTACTCCCATAATACTTGCTGATAGGATATACTTGTTATCTATGTTGCTCGGAATCTTTGAAAATGTCAATGGATGCCTGTTGGACCCTCTAAAAATAGTATCTTTTAGAGGATCCGACTCACGTGCAGCAGCATTTTTAAAGAGTACTAGCAATGGAGATAATTCATACACTTAGGAGTCATTTGGTTGATGGTTTGAAATAACCAATTCCAACATAAAATTGGCATGTGTTGACTTTATCTAATAATAGCTACATTACATTATGTGGGATGAAGTGTGAAATAAGAATACACGTATTTACAATGCGCTGGGAAATCTCATTGCTATTCTCGCATTATAGTTTCTCGTACAACTATGATGTGAGCCAAATGACTCGTGACAGTGAAAGAATTTACACCATCATCAACATGTAGTTATCTTTTAGGTGACGAGTTAGTGGAAAACGTTAAGTGTGTAGAAGTTGAACTCTTGTTGATATCGTTTACCTTTTCCGTGGTTGAAAACAGGTGATAGCTGTTGGACCCGGTCCTCTCGATGAGGAAGGGAAAAGGAAAGCACTTTCAGTATCTCCTGGAAATACAGTTCTGTATTCCAAATATGCTGGCAATGACTTCAAAGGAGCTGATGGTTCAGAGTACATCACATTGAGGGCATCTGATGTAATTGCTGTGCTTCAGTAGATGTTTTGTTATATATATATAACAAGGCAGTTCATTCTCATACCAGTATTTTGCAGTGTAGTATAGCAAAGAGGAGAATGTTGTAACCATTTTGGAATAATACTTTTGCAAATTAATGATCAATATCTAGTTCTGGAAGTGCCTTTTCTTGTTTAGTTTGCAGAAGTCAAGTTTTCGTGCCTTTTGCGTATATGTCCAAAGGAAATTATTCATTATTAAACTCACATTACATTTTCTTGATTACAAGATCAAGTTAAAATACACACACAAAGCCTTAGACAAATTACAAACACACATAACAAACCAAAACACAAACATTATTGACAGAGGACTTTCAACAAACACTTGATCTGCAACTTTTTTTCAACCAGAGATATTAATAGCTTTCACCTCAGGCTTCTTCTCTTCTTCTTTAGGAACAGTTACAGTAAGCACACCATTCTCCATCGCCGCCTTAATTTCCTCCATTTTCACATTCTCCGGCAACTTAAACCTCCTTATAAACTTACCACTACTCCTCTCCATACAGTGCCACTGATCATTCTTCTCCTCTTGCTCTTTACTCCTCTCACCACTAATCTGCAAAATCCTTCCTTCTTCAACTTCAACTTTCACTTCCTCTTTCTTAATCCCAGGTACATCCACTTTAAAAACATGAGCTTCCGGGGTTTCTTTCCAATCGATTCTTGCATTTGCGAAAACAGAGGTTTCACGAACAGAGG